AAACACAAATCCTATTACCTATAAAATTATAGATTTAAACAATGAAGAGATTATAGGGAGTTTTTATAACCAAGAGTTACAAAAAACAAAATTTTAATAATATGACCTAAGTTAAAGGAAGTGATATCTATAATAGAATATCTATTATAGTATATTTTATAAATATACTATAAAATATTTACGGTATCAAGCACATGATTATGAAATTATAAAGTTGGGAGACACCGTGTCTCCCAACTCATTAGGATATCATATTCTAGTAACCGTATGGTATTGTATCATAATCTGGTAATATTATTCTTTTATCATAACCAAACGAGAATTTTTTTGTAACTTTCTTATTAACTATATTTTTAGTAAGCGTATCACGTGTTATTTGATTATATTCTAGTTCTATATTACTATCTTTATTTTTTTGTTCAATTAATTTTATCATTGATTCACCGTTAAGTTTTAACAAATTTTGATAATTCAAAGTAAATCCCTTTATAACCGTTTGATGTTTATTATCGTTTGTTTTATAATAATAACTTTTAGGACCTGTAGATGCCCAATCTGTAATATGTACATTTTCACCTAATTCATCAGTCCATTCTCCCAACATTGTTCCTGTTTTAATTTTATTAACACCATTATCTATATAGAAAATAGAATCGGTATCAAAATAAGCTACAGCTCTACCTAATTTATCTAACATTTCATATAATCTTAATCTGGCACTAGATGTTGTAAATAAAGCTATTAATATATTTGTATTATGAAAATTCTCAACGTAATAATCTTTATAATTATAACACATTTGTATCATATTGTCGTTTAATATTTTTATATTGATATTTTCTAATCTATCATCTAATAATATTTTATAGAATTGTTGTGGATCTGTAACAAACTCAGTTTTTTTCATTTTTTGTCGTTGTCCAAATTTTCCCCATAAACTATTTAAACACAGCTTTGCTACAGCTCTCCTACCTGGATTATCACCTAATTTTAATTTATCTAATAAAATACCCATTTTATCGAAAATTGTTTTTATATACTCAACATTACAGCTATAATTATGTTTTGAACTTTCTAATTTTATTTTTATAAAAGTATCTACATAATCTTTAAATAAATCTGTTGATTTCTTTTCAAAATGCCACACTTCATAAATTTTTGTTATAATATATCCTTTTTCCAAAGATTTATTAACTTCATCTGTTGTCCATGTTCCTATAAGTTGTCTTTCATTTTTAGAATGATCACATCTTTGATTTTGGTCTACAGCACATTTATAACACAAAGGAAATAATAACTTTTCACTTTTTTCCATTTTTATTTTAACTGGAAGTACATGATGATAAAGATTTCTTGGAGGTAAAATTTTACATTTAATTAAACCAAACCATTTTCATATTTTTTTGGATTAAATATTTTTACGGGATGTCCTTCAGGATAATAATCATAATAATTCACAGTTGGATATAAACTACATACATCAATATAACGCATTTTTGTGTTTTTTACCCTTAATTTTGTCGCATTTGTTCTACCTCCAAAGAAAGTATCTCTAGGATTAATAGGGTCAGCTATATCAGCTTTTTTCATTTTTTTGTATGTAGTGCTATTTATCCAATCACATTCCCATTGCTCAACAAGATTATAACCAGCTTTTTTTTATTGATGTACTTCTTTCAATTGTTTTTTGATACAAATCATCCATTGTTTCATGATTTATATTATTTATAGTTTCTCGATCTTTATAACATTTAGTACAACCATGCCAAAAACATCCATGATATTGATAAACCGTTTTTGATTTATTATCAAATCCATCTACTTTAGCTCCTGCTATTATTATTTCGTTCCCATTTAATGCATGTGAGATATTTTTATTATTAAAATTTTGTAACCACGTTATCGATTGTTTTGAATAATTTTCATTTTTTCTTTATCTAAAACAGCTATAGTATCTTCTAACAAATATTTTGATCTGTAAATACTCATACAAACACCCGCTATAGTTGTATAGCAAAAAGGATCAATGCTAGCTATATCCAAAAATTGTTTTCTTAATTCTAAACATCCTCTTCGTAAAATATCTACATCTGAATTACAGTAAGCCTCTAATTCTTCTTTAAAAATAAATATATAATTTTCATTAATTTTTTCATTATACCATTTTTCAAATTCTAGTTTATTCTCTGGTTTCATTGTTTCGACTCCATAATATTTTTTATCAGGTAATTTACCAATATAATTTTGAATTTCTACTGTATTAAAGAAATGCGGAAAGTAACCTTTTTTCAGTTCTTTGAGACCAAACGTTTTGGGAAAACTACTGAGAGGACCTTGAATAAAATTAGAACTATCTATTATTCTTATTTTTAAATATTTAATTTCTAATAACATTAATTTTGTACTATTATAAATTGTAAATGGTTTCAGAGTGTTATCAACCAAGTATTTCAATATAAATTGTGAATCGTATCCTTTTGCATAATGTGCTATAAATGTATAACCCCTATATTCCTCTGATATTACTTGTTTACAAAATTCTTCATTTGTATCAAACATAATTTTATTTCCTTCAAAATCATGAGCAATTATTTTATTTGCGATATGAGTTCCTGTTTCTTGTTGAGCTTCATAATCAAAAAACAAATATTTTTCTGTATAAGAACATTGATATGGTTTATTTATACCTCCACATTTTGTACATCCTACTAAGCATTTACCTCCTTTTGCTAATCTACTTTGCATATAACATTGATGTTCATTTATTTTCACTTCTTCTAGACAATTTCTACATTTACTATAACCACAATTATGTTCCCTATCTCTAAACAATATTCTATTACAATCAATACATTTATATACATAGGCACATACATATTCGTGATTATCTAAACATTCTTGATTATAACAATATCTATTACGTTTTTCACAATATATTTTATTTTTTGTACTAATTGAATGTTCAAATCTCTCACCATAATATGTACACAATTTACATATATTTTTATTTTTATTTTTATTTTTACCACATTTATGTTTATCTTTATTTTGATATGGTTTATCGCACTTATTACAATAATAACACGATCCGTAGAAAGCTTTAGCGGATTTAATAACATCAAAATGATTACCATTTTTATACAAATAAATTTTAGTTTCTTTATCCTCACCCTTATAAATTAAAGTATTTAAATTTTCAGCACAAATAACATTTATTTGAATATCTAGTGCAAGTTCCACATTCTTAATATCATTCAATGTAAATCCTTCTTCGTTATATTCTGGTAACATATTACATAATTCTAAAGCTAAATCTTTTTGAATTTTTCTACCTATCTTCAATTGTTTAATTTTATTGGGGTATAATTCATGACCTAAAATATTGTTTGTTTCAGTAGATAATGCAACAACAATAGCTCTCGGACAACATAAATTATCATCGTTATTAATCTCAATAATACTTTTTTTTGGTTTTATATTTTCTGATAAATTAATTATTTTAGTTCTCCTTGAACCTCTTGGTATTTTCACTAATTGAACTTGAAAAGTAGTTTCTGTTATATCAATTGTTTCAGCTGAAGTTAATATGTTAACAATAATTGATTTTAAGTTTGTTAAAAAATTATCAGATTTCATACCAGTAGATATAGTATTTTTTAAATTTGGATTCATCACTATAATATTTATTTGATCACCTTTTTCATAACTTGAATTTTTTTGGACAAGTTTTAACATGGAATCTAGAGCTTTATGTACATAATCAATTTTGTATTTTGCATTACACAGCTTTAGATCTTTTATTAAAGCTTCTCTAAACCGAATTTTATATTCAGCTTCATGTATTTTAAATTTCTTTTGGATTTGTTTATTCATTTGAATTATATCTATCAAATCATAAACATCTGATGTTTTTTCTAATGAACTATTAAAATAATTTTCTTCAGTGAAAATTGTTTTTTCTAACTTCTGAAATGGATTATTGTTTAATGAACTATTAAAAACTTCATCCTTGAATATATCTTCTTGAAATTTACAAAAAGGTTGTTGCTTTCTTGTTAATTTAATTTTTTTTATTAAACATTCTTTATTAAGTTTGTAAATTTGTTTTATATCAAAACTTCTAGCTATTGACTTAAGCTCAGAAGTTGTTAAATCGCGAATTGTATGACCTCTCCTAATTCTTGATATAAGATCATTTTTTTTAAGGGTACTATAACCCTTAAGTTTAGCCTCTTTTGCTATTAACTTAAGCTCAGAGACTTTCATATTTTCTATTATGCTTATAGAATTTATATTTGCCATTATTTTTATTATTTATTATATTTTTAATTTTTAAATTAATTTTTTCAATTTCTTTTTAATACATTTTGCAATTAAATATGCTATTTCGATTTTTTATTTTTGATAGAACAATTCTAATAAAAAATGTTTTGGTGCATTTCAGATTTTTGAAAAATATTTTAAGTAATTATTGCATTTAAATGTCACGTGTGCCGAAGTCCCCCCATAGGAAAATATTTTTAGTATTTTTTGCATTTCAATTTCTATGAAAATTATTTTTAGTATTTTTGCATTTCAGATTTTTTGAAAAATATTTTAATAATTATTGCGTTTCACGATTTGCAAAATAATTAAAGGAATATTGCATTTCAATTTCTATGAAAAAATATTTTAGGAAATATTGCATTTAAAATGAAAGTGTACCATAGTGACCCCTATACTACTTACGGTGTCTCGCACACGAGACGCGTCGCGCTGTGCGTCGCTGGCTGGACTTACCCACTTCGTGCCCGAACGCGTACATTCACTCGCCCACATCGGCGGGTGGCTTGGGTGTTCCGGACTTTGTCCGCTTTGTACCAAAAAACCGCGTCAAGAGACTTACAAGACTTGAGAACTCCGAAGTCCCGGCGGTCCGGGAGGCCTTCGGGCTTCACGGGAAGTCCGCCTTGGCGGGCGCCCGTCGGGCCGAGGAGAGTCACCGTCTCAAGTTGAGTCATATGCAGGACCTCCATGCGAGCGTGGATGGCTCGGAACTGAAGCTATGTTCCGAGGAGTCGGCGTCCGTCGCGTTCCTTCGTCGTCCCGATGGCATCCCGTCGTCGGACTTCAAAGAGTACGCGCGGATCAGAATAAACGCACTGCCGACTCGCAAACGTGTCAACCGCGGGAAAGCCGGTCCGGCCAGGTGCCGGGCTTGCGGCCTCGTGGACGAGACGCTTGCCCATATCTCACAGACTTGTCAACGCACGCATGAATCCCGCATTTTGAGACATGACTGCCTGGTCAAACGAATCACAGGCGGTCTACGCGAAAAACGGTACGAGGTGGAAACGGAGCATCTCTACAAGTTACATGGCGGTAATATGAAGCCGGACATCGTCGCAACGATAAGCGACGAGACAAGAGGCCGTATATCCGTTATATGTGATGTACAAGTCGTTTCAGGCTCCGCTCCGGTTACTTGGCATTCTAAAAAACTCAAAAATATAACGATCGAGCGGATCTAAAAGCCGCGATCCGCACCCGACACCTATCGACCGAAGTACAAACGGTCGCCGCTACGCTAACCTGGCGTGGCGTCTGGGTTCCCGAAAGCTTCCGGGATCTCAGATCGCTTGGGCTGAGCCGAGGTCTTCTCGAGGGACTCGTTACACGGGTGCTTCGTGGGACGCAACTCAGCTGGTATACGTTCAATCGCAATAACTTGGCAGTGAAGGCGCGGACGGGAGTCGGGTAGTAACCCCCGTCCAGCCGCATCAACTGCAGGCCTCCTCGACCTGCATTCCTTGAACTTCTTCCCTATAATGACCTTCCCCTCCCTCTGAAAAGTAATTTCCCATGTATCCTCCGGTAGGCGGTTACATGATGATAGTCGGCTTACCCCGACTGTCTGTCTATTTCTCATTCGGCTTTCGGGGTAAGTTGCGAACTCTCCACGCGGAGGGTGGTTGATTTCCGCTCCTCGTAAGGAGTGCTCGCTCTGATAACTTAGCCAAATGCCTCGTCATCTAATTAGTGACGCGCATGAATGGATTAACGAGATTCTCACGGGGTCGATGAAAACCCACCTTGTCGCGGTGACCCCGCCCGGCCGACAGATGGGTCGGTCGCTAAGAGGTTTTCAAAATCGGGTCCGTTTAAACTAGTTGTGACGGACCCCAGGCGTCGCGTGAGCTGTTACGTGACGCCAAGTCGTGCTCTCGCGAGTGGCGAGCCTATACCTCGGGTCGGGAGCAACCCGCGATAAACCACCAGTCAGCTGCAGTGTCCTTTGGCTGGCAGGAATCGTGGGCGTAACCTGACCTCAGGGTCTGAGGGCCGTCGCGGACCAGAGTACAGGCGACAACCCTTAGCTGGGGGATCGCCCGGGGACCTTAGCCAGTTCTCGGGTGGTCAAGCCCGGCCGTGGACTTAGCCGTTTGCGGTCGGAAGAACTTCCGGAGGTTGGCAACTCCGGTCGTAGGCGCCAGGCACCGGCATGGACACACCCCGACCAGGCCGACAACATGGATGCAACTCACGACTAGCCCGACGTGAGCCAGAGGGATCAGGGCTAAGCCTGGCGGCAGGCGATAAAACGCAAGGGAAGGTCACCCGGCCAAAACCAACGATGCATGCGAACAAAAACTGTTTTACCCCAAGTGATATGCCGGTATACCCGGTAAATTCACCCTCCGCGGAGGCAAGGGCCCACGGATTTTGGGGGGGCCCAGTCGCATCGCATCTCCGACCAGAGCCGCGCAGCCTGGTTGACGAGCCTACGGGCGATAATATTGACTACACCATTCTTGACTCCACTAGTGACTATACAGGGTGATTTTTTTATCGAAGAACACTCATTATTTCAAAAAGTATTAATGTTTAAGAAAATATTTTTTTACATAGTTTCAAGTTGTTAAAAAACAATATTTTTATTAAAAAATTATATTTTTAAATATTTTTTATCCTTTTAATTTTTTAAGTTTTTTATTTTTTTGAATGACAACATCTAATTTTAATTTGATATTCAAAAACAGAATATTTTTCTGAGTATTTCGATACATAAAAATTGAATTTAGGGCAATTAGTTTATGAGTTATAAGTATTTAAAGTTTAGATGAGCGGAGTAGAGTGGTACGGGGTTAATAATAAATGTATGTCCACTACTCCGCTCATCTAAACTTTAAATACTTATAACTCATAAACTACTTATCGATAAAAAAATCACCCTGTATATCAACGACTATAAATTCCGACACTCCTATGGGAGTTATTCTTGACGCGGGCGGTTACGTCCTAAGGTTAAAAGGCGGCGCTAACAGCGACATAGAAACGCCAGCTAGGGATAGCCTCGCCAATGACGAAGGGGGAACGTTCGAAACCCCTTATGCCTACACTCGAACAAAAAGGAAGCGTGTGACCGACGTTGACTCTAGCCTTACGTCCGATGGCTCTCGCGGCGCTCGCTCCGAAAGCATCGACAGACACTGCGACGAGGTCGAATCTAACATCGCTGATACTAGACAGGTCATTGTCGATATGGTCAAAGAAGCCAAAGTGGCTAGGCGCTGGGCTGAGACTCTTAACCATCACCTGGATGAAATAATGGTTGGAAACCGTCGGTTAGGCAGGACCGGCTCCATGATTCTGGGAAGCTTTGACGAGCAAAGGGAAGAGCTGCGCTCTACCCAAAAACATCTAAGGGATCTTTACTGCGACTTAGGCGCTCTTAGGGAGCAGCTCAGACAGGCGACGATGGAAAGAGACTCGGCCAGAGTGGAGTTATCCCTTCGTCAACCAGCAAATCAGAATCCGGTCTCCCCACCTATTGAGTTTATGGACCTAGATGAAGACTGCATCGTGGTTCTAAGTCCGTCTGGTAAAAGCTATGCCGATCGCACCAGGGCCGTACCGCGTCAAAAGAAAAAGGATCGTGATGAATTTCCTAGGCTCGAAACTCCGAAACAAGCGAGACCAGTCAAACCTAAGACCGGCCAAAAAGCCAGCGCCACGTCTGCGCCCGCGGTAGCTATATCAGCTAACAAGAAGAAAAATGTGAAAAACAAAAATAATAAGAAAGACGACGCAAGGGACAGAGCCGTAAAAGCTGGGCCTAGGTTTGAGGTGACGGTGGAGGGCGAGAATTGGATAGAAGTCCGCAAATCTATTGAGCAAAAGATTAAAAATCCGAAAGTCCGTTCGGTCCGATCAAGGAATGGCCTAATCCTCTTTCCGGAGGACGATGTAACCGCTGGTGCTCTGCGCCGCACATCTCACCTCCAGGAAATTCAGCCCCGCAAACCAAGGCTAATAGTCAAGTATGTCGACAGGTTGCTCGATGGCGACGAGATACCCTGGGCACTTGTCAATCAGAACCCGGGCTTGGAGCTCGCCGATTCTGACATTGACAAGGTGAAACCGCTATTCAAACTGGGTCCCCGTGATGGCCATGTTGTGCACTGGGTCTGTGAGGGCCACCCAGACATCCTAAGCAAACTCGAAGGGAAGAGCGCTTACCTGGGCCTCACCAAATGCAAGATGAAGGTTCATTCCCAAGTTACGCAATGCTACAACTGCCAGGGTTTCGGCCACATCGCCGGTTCGTGCAAGGCGGATAAGCCAATCTGCAGAAAGTGCGCGCAGTCGCATGAGTCCAGAACCTGCGAAAGCGTACAAATCAAATGCGCCAACTGTAAGGGTTCTCACCTAGCCTCGAGCAAAACCTGCATAGCGAGAGAACGGGCTATAAGGACTATTACCCGCCGAACGGACTTTGCGGTAAAAATCACAAATTAATATGCTAAAAGTCATCCAGCATAACTTAAACAGAGACCGCACTGCCAGCCACCAACTCAGAGCTGCTTGCAGAGACCGCAGAGTCGATTTCGTTCTTGTCCAAGAACCATTGGTCACAAACGGCAAAATATATGCCTTCGAACGCTGTAAATGCCACATCAGCAAGAAATCAGGAGCCGCCGTTATTGCTCTATCGGACCGTTTTCAATGTATTGGTCTCAATCAGTTCACCTCTGACTATACAGCAGCGGCAAAGGTTACGTATGGTAACAGGCCTTATGACTACGTGGTTCTAGTGTCGTCATACTTCAAATACAATATACCAACAATCACCCATCTGGAGCGCCTAGAACAAATATTGACAATCGACACCCGGGCCTTAATTGCTGCGGACACAAATGGTCATTCGCCCCGTTGGCATTCGACCTCTCGTAATCGCCGGGGCAGATTAACCGAACAGTTGATCGAAAAACACAACCTCTGTATCCACAACTCTGCGGGTCAGATGAATACGTTCTGTCGGCGCGATGGCCGCACATCAAACATAGATGTTACCTTATCAACTGAAAATATGAAAAACAAAATAAAGGACTGGTCCGTCAGTGACCTCACTGATAGCGATCACAGGGTGATTGCCTTTACAGTAAAAACGACCAATTATAAAAAGCCTGCGTCCCACGAAAAACGCTATATCCTTAAGACGGCTGATTGGGATAAATTTAAGACCGCTCTCCTTGGCGAAATTGGTGGAATTTCGGAATCCTCGATTGAATCCACGGCCATGGGCATTAACAGAACACTGTCCGTAACTGCGGACCAGGCCATTCAACGGAGGAAATCTGATGATACCCCCAGTAAAAGTATCTGGTGGTCCCCAGTCCTCTCAGCGCTTCGGCAAACACTTGTACGGAAAAGACGCTTAGGGCTTAGGGACAGCAACAGACAAGCATATAACAAACTCCGTAACGAATTCCTCAGGGAAATAAGGAATCATAATATCCTCGCCTGGAAATGTTTCGCGGACGACTTAAACTCCAACCCATGGAGCAAAGCCTTCAGATGGGCGAAAGGCGGAAAATCGATAAGCTCCATGCCTAATGCAATGACTAGGCCGGACGGCTCACTCACCTCCGACTGCAGGGAAACTGCTGAGCTCCTTCTGGACACGTTTGTACCCGCAGACCCAGACCAATGTGTCTTGGAGTCCAATGGTCCTTTACAACTCAAAACCGCTCCAAGTCCGGACGTGGTAAAAGCCGCTATATGGCGCATGCGGACGAACGGAGCCCCCGGTGCTGACGGCATTACGGCAGGAATGCTCAGGAAAGCCTGGCCAGCGCTCGGTGACATCATCACCAACCTTTTTGGTAGATGTCTCCAAGACGGGATATTCCCTGAGTGTTGGAAAATTGCAAAACTCATAATAATCCCCAAACCGGGCAAGACCGATCGGGATTGCGTGAAATCTTTCCGGCCAATCAGCCTGCTACCCGTTCTAGGTAAGGCCTTAGAAACTCTCATTATACACGACATTGTAAAGGAAACTAGTCTGGATTCCTACACTGACCAACATGGTTTCACGGCGGGGAAATCGACTGTTAGCGCCATCAGGAGCGTCTACGGAAAAATCGACGCGTCAAAATCAAGACACATATTTGGAACTTTCCTTGATATCACGGGCGCATTTGATAATGTGAAGTGGTCCCCGCTGATATCACAAATGAACAAACTG